ATGTCTTTAATAGGGATAGCTCCCTAGTAGATCTAAAACTACCCATGCATTAGCCGTTGAAAATGAACAAAAGACAGAAATATGTGGCATACGGTAGCTCCAGCCAAGATTCTAGATTTGAATTTTCAGAGTCACACACATTTAGTCTCCACAATTGTTGTGTCTCTCCTACATTTATGTGTACATATCAAAATGCATGTGCTACACTGATGCTGGGAAAATACCTGGATGCTTTTTAAAAACATTTCTAGGCCAGAGTCAAACTTTAAATCCTAAACACCAAACATAAGACTATCAACTTCTGTTAAATCGTCACCAGCAACGATACATTTTGACAGATATAGCTAGTTTTAAAAGAATATTTTGATCAACCTGTCATGGCTGTACTCTGAGCTGTTCATTTTCTTTCTTATACACCTATGCAATTCTTGTGCTTTTTCTCCCTTTAAGGGTTATATTAATGATCCTAGACCTATTGGTTTTTTTAAAGTAAGCAATTCATTTACTGATAATACCCAGTTTTATTTATATGTTGTTTAGTGTTTTTATTACATGCTATATGACGGATATCTAGTGTTTTAATGGTCTGTTATTGACAATAATATTTATATGTGTGTATATATATAGTTTAACCTTTATTTTATGTGTGTGTGCATACATACCATATATTAATATACAGGCAGTCCCCAAGTTATGAACAAGATAGATTCTGTAGCTTAATTCTTAAGTTGAATTTGTTTGTAAGTATAAATACTACATTTTTAAGTGTAACTCCAGCCAAAAACACACTTTTTAGTTTTGGATCACACAGGGAAGGTTTAACATCTCTGTGATGTTTCCTTTGCTGTCTGTGCCACTGCTCAGAAGAGTTCACTTCACTTTCTGTCCCTGTGATAATTGGATTTTGAAAAATGTGGCTTGCTGTGGAAACACCTTTCCCCCATGATAACAACCCTTTTAGGAGTGAATTTCCCTTCCAAGGGGTAGATTCCCCTCACTTTCTGTTGTTAACTCTAAGTCATTCCTAAGTCAGATGTTCGTAACTTGGGGACTACCTGAACATCTTATTATAGATTTTATATTACATGAAATATTACTAATAATACTACAATATAATGGTATAATACAATATAGTACAATATAACGGTATAATACAATATAGTAATATATAATTCTGATATTGTACTATGCTAATAATATAATATATTGTATGTATATACACATATATACATACATACATACATATATTTTATTTATTTATTTATTTACTTTGCTTCTATACCGCTGTTCTCAGCCCGAAGGCGACTCACAGCGGTTCACAAGACACAGGACACAGCAGAATTCAAACACCAATATAAACAATTAATACCCTAATCTAATACCCTAATCTAATACACAATTACTATGATAACCATTCAGTAGCGTCTCGTCACTAAAAAACATGATCCAAATTCGTCATCCATTGTTCCATTCCTATGTCATTACCAGTCTTGTACTAATTATTCGAACGCCTGCACAAATAACCAGGTCTTTACTTTTTTGCGGAAGACCATTAGAGACGGTGCTAATCTAATATCTGTGGGAAGGGCGTTCCACAGCCGGGGGGCCACCACCGAGAAGGCCCTGTCTCTCGTCCCCGCCAGCCGTGCTTGTGAAGCTGGCGGGATCAAGAGCAGGGTCTCCCCGGAAGATCTCAAAGTCCTGGTGGGTTCATAGGCCGAGATGCGGTCGGAAAGGTAGCTTGGGCCGGAACCGTTTAGGGCTTTAAAGGTTAACACCAGCACATTGAATTGAGCCCGGTAGCAAGTCGGCAGCCAGTGGAGTTGGCGCAACATATATCTTGTAAGCCGCTTTGAGTCCCCTTCGGGGTGAGAAGGGCGACATATAAATGTCATAAAAAATAAATACATACATATCTTTATCGTAGTCCCATATGTATGAGTATGTATATAAAAGTTTGTGTATCTTTTCTAGATGTCGGTACATCTGTGTGTGCTGTAGTCTCATATACACACGTATGCATATATGTATATATTTTGACTTTTCTATAATGTGTGTATGTATATATGTGTGTAAATATATGTGTGTATATATATAATCCACTCAACAGTGGATTAGGCGGAAGATAACACTGTACATGTTGCAAAAGCTGTGAACGTGGAGTAAGGCTGCAACAGATTGAGAAGCCACCATCGTCATGTTAACCAGGCCACTGGTTGGGACTCTCACTCTGTCAAGACTGTGTGTTGATTGTATGTGCACCGACCTCCACACATTTAAAAAAAAAACCTCACACAGAGGCATCTTCCAATAAAAATAAAATGCTTGGAAGGCCATCATGCTCGGACAACAAGGGATCGCCTAAGAGTGTGTGTGTGTGTGTGTGTGTATGTGTGTGTATATATATATATATATATATACATATACATACACACACATGCATGGATGTATATATAGTTTAGCTTTTCTACTGTGTGTGGGCGTGTGTGCATATATCTTTATTGTAGTCTTTTGTCTCTGTTTATGTACAAGACAGCCAATAGAGTATTGTGTGTGTATGTGTATTCACGTTTTTCTATTATGTGCATAAATATGCATATATATATTTTTCTTGTAGTCTGACACATATGTATGAAGGCATATAAATATATAGACAGACAGTATTCTATTCTGTTTCATATTATGACTATCTTGTCTTTTAATAGCCTGGGATGGTACAACAAAGACTGATAAATATATTAATCTATATTTTTAAAACATGTATAATAAAAATGGTTGTGAAGCTCCCTTTCTTTGCAGCTAAGATTCGTAAAATGATGCAGCCTATGCAATACTTGGGGCTTGCCTCCCTCTGGAACTGTCTTGAAGGAAACCAGATCTATTGTATTTAAATTATTTTTAAAAGGACAGTTCTAACTTTCGAAAATGTTTTGATGGTTTTTAACTGAGATTTTTAAAAGTGTTGTAAGTGTTTAGTTCTGTTTTAATGTTTGTATATTTTAAAACTGTATACGAATGCTTTTATGCCAAGCTGCTTTGAGTCTCCTTTGGCTTGCTGCAAGTATTTCGGGCTATATGGCCATGTTCCAGAAGCATTCTTTACTGATGTTTCGCCCACATCTATGGCATGCATCTTCAGAGGCTGACCTCACAGCAACCCAATGATTCCGACCATGAACTCCTTCGACAACACATTGATATTGAACTTGTTTGTGAAATGAGGTCTGGTTACAACAAAAGATTGGGGTACAAATATAGTAAGGTAAAAGTAAAGGTTTTCCCCTGGCATTAAATCCAGTGATGGTTACATGGTTTCCTGAGTCTCCTGAAAGCAGGGTATGAATACACATAATAATAATAATAATAATAATAATAATGTGTAATAATAATAATACATTCTAATACTAATCATGGTTACATGGTTACATGGTTTCCTGAGTCTCCTGAAAGCAGGGTATGAATACACATAATAATAATGATGATAATAATAATACATTCCAATACTAATCATGGTTACATGGTTTCCTGAGTCTCCTGAAAGCAGGGTATGAATACAAATAATAATAATAATATAATATAATAATAATAATAATAATAATAATAACAACAACAATAATATAACCATATATAGGTAAAAGTAAAGGTTTTCTCCTGACATTAAGTCATCTCCATTTCTAAGCTGAAGAGCCGGTGTTGTCCATAGATGCCTCCAAGGTCATCTGGCCAGCATAACTGCATGGAGCGAATATACTCATACACAAATGACAAAACAAAACTTTGATGATAAAGGGCCCTTCCACACAGCCATATAACCCAGAATATTAAGGCGGATAATTCACATTAACTGCTTTGAACTGTATTATCTGAATCCACACTGACACATAATCCAGTTCAATGCAGCTGTGTGGAAGGGGCCTAAATTGTCTGAGGGTCCTTCCAGACAGGCCCTATATCTCAGGTTTTTTGTCTATCCCAGATTATCTGGCAGTGTGGACTCAGATAATACAGTTCAAACCGGATTATATGAGTCCACACTGCCACATAATCCAGTTCAATGCGGATTTTATGCAGCTGTGTGGAAGGGGCCTAAGTTATCTGAGGGTCCTTCCAGACAGGCCCTATATCTCAGGGTTTTTGTCTATCCCAGATTATCTGGCAGTGTGGACTCAGATAATACAGTTCAAACCGGATTATATGAGTCCACACTGCCACATAATCCAGTTCAATGTGGATTTTATGCAGCTGTGTGAAAGGGGCCTAAATTATCTGAGGGTCCTTCCAGACAGGCCCTATATCCCAGGTTTTCTGTTTCTCCCAGATTATCTGGCAGTGTGGACTCAGATAATACAGTTCAAACCGGATTATATGAGTCCACACTGCCACATAATCCAGTTCAATGCAGCTGTGTGGAAGGGGCATGAATTATCTGAGGGCCCTTCCAGACAGGCCCTATATCCCAGGTTTTCTGTTTCTCCCAGATTATCTGGCAGTGTGGACTCAGATAATAAAGTTCAAACCGGATTGTATGAGTCCACACTGCCACATAATCCAGTTCAATGTGGATTTTATGCAGCTGTGTGGAAGGGGCCTAAGTTATCTGAGGCCCTATATCCCAGATTTTCTGTTCCTCCCAGATTATCCGGCAGTGTGGACTTATATAATCCGGTTTAAAGCAGAAAATCTGGGATCAGATCCTGGGATATAGGGCCTGAGTCCACACTACCATATAACCCAGTTCAAAGAAGGTAATGTAGGATTTTGGACAGCTGAGCGGAAGGGGCTCAATACAAATATTATTATGTTGGTTTATACCTCGCTTTTTGTCTCTCTTCCACATAATCCTATAACCCAGAATATCAAGGCAGAAAATCCCACAAGATATGCTATGAAGCGGGTTATCTGAGTCCACACTGCCATATATTCTGGTTCAAAGCAGGAAAATGCGGGCTTGTGGAAGGGGCCAGAGGGACAGTTCTCCCAGGTTCCATATGGGAACTCACCGCACTCCATCCTCCCCTGAGGCGGCCGTCACAGCCACCATCCTCTCCCTCTCCGCCGTCTCCTCCTCTTCCTCCTTCTCCCCGCAGAAAACAACACGACGGCAGGCTCTGCTTCCGCGAGGCACGCTGGGCAATGTAGTCCCCCCGCCCGCCTCCGCCGTCTACGCGTCTCCCGCCAGAACTACGACTCCCGTCAGGCACTAGGCGTCGGTGTAACGGCGTAGCGGATTGGCTGCGGCGCAAGAGGAGTCGAGGGAGGGGATTGGCTGCGGCGGAGGAGCGGTGGAAGCGGATTGGCTGCGGCACAAAGGGGCGCCATTTTGGGGGGCGTGGCTACCGTGTTGTCAAAGATGGAGGACGAGGGTGGCTCGGTCTCCAACGTGGAGGTGTGCAACCTGGCCTATTTGGGCCGCCTGGAGGAGCTGAAGGAGCGCCTGGGAAGCAACCGGAGCCTGGCCACCAGAGTCGACCAGGTGGGTCCAGTCAGTGGCCTTATGAGGTCTGTAAACAAAACTGCACTGCTAATTGTGCAGGTACAACTGCACCAGGAGCTCCCATTTTGTTTGCTTTGCATTTAATGTTTGTTATAGTCCTAAGTTTCAGGGACTCTGCAGATAGGTGGCTTCTTTTGGCTGCAATCATAGGCCAAGCCACCTGTCAATTATAGTTAGGTTCCCTGGTCCCCCCCTCTCTGTTTAAAGCAGTGTTTCTCAACCTGGGGGTCGGGACCCCTGAGGGGGTCGTGAGGGGGTGTCAAAGGGGTCGCCAAAGACCATCAGAAAACATAGTATTTCCTGGTGGTCATTGGGATTCTGTGTGGGAAGTTTAACCCAATTCTGTTGTTGGTCGAGTTCAGAATGCTCTTTGATTGTAGGTGAACTATAAATCCCAACAACTACAACTCCCAAATGTCAAGGTCTATTTTCCCCAGACTCTCCCAGTGTTCACAATTGGGCATACTGAGTATTAGTGCCAAGTTTGGTCCAGATCCATCATTGCATAAATCCACAGTGCTCCTCTGGATATAGGTGAACTACAACTCCCAAACTCAAGGTCAATGCCCACAAAACCCTTCCAGTGTTTTCTGTTGGTCATGGGAGTTCTTTGTGCCAAGTTCGGTTTAAATCCATCGCTGGTGGAGTTCAGAATGCTTTTTGATTATAGGTGAATTATAAATCCCAGCAACTACAACTCCCAAATTACAAAATCAATCCTCTCCCCCCCCCCCCCAACCCCACTAGCATTCACATTTGGGCATATTGGGTATTTGTGCTCAATTTAGTCCAGTGAATGAAAATATATCCTGCATATCGGATATTTACATTACGATTTATAACAGTACTAAAATGACAGGTATCAAGTAGCAACAAAAACAATATTATGGTTGGGGGTCACCACAACATATGGAACTGCATTAAGGGGTCACGGCATTAGCAAGGTTGAGAACCACTGTTTTAGAGGGAATAGGTGCCATTTTGAGTTCAGTCCACACAGAGAAGCCTTTCACACAGGCAGAGGCGGCCCTAGGTAATTTTCAATGGTAAGCAAACAGTATTTTGGTGCCCCCCCCCAACCAATCATTGATATATATTTCTGTTCGTCGTGGGAGTTCTGTGTGCCATATTTGGTTCAATTCCATCATTGGTGGAGTTCAGAATGCTCTTTGATTGTAGGTGAACTATACATCCCAGTAACTACACTTGCCGCACTTGCTCCCTTGCCTGGCCTGCTTTGGGTCCGGAGGCATGCCTGAGTGTGCACCAAAAGTCACCTCTTCTCCTGACTTTCTCCTCAGCCATTGGGACCAAGAGAGAGAGAGAGGTGGAGATGCCCACCTTTCCTGAAGGTAGGCGCAAAAACAAAGGAGGGAGCAGAGGTGGGAGATACCTCCAGCCGGAGGGGCTCTCTCTCTCTTTTGGTCCCAATGGCTGAAGAGAAAGTCAGGAGAAGAGGCGACTTTTGGTGCCCACGCTGGGGTCTTCAGACACACCTCCGGACCCGAAGTGGGCCAGGCGTGGCGGCTCCGCCCCTTGGCCCACCTGCGGATTGGGGAGAGGAGAGGAGGCGGGTGGAGCGCCGGGGGATCGGGAAAGGGAGCCGGTCATGGGGAAGGGATCGAACGTGGAGAATGATTGAGCGCCGGCTCTGCTTGCGCACCCGGTGGCCGGGTGGAGCAGGAACGAGAGGGGCTAGGCGAGGCTCAAGGGCCCGGCCCCTTTGGGAAGAGGATCGCCCGGCAGCGAGGCAAGAAAGCCGAGGCTCCCCCCGGACTGCTAGGGCTGTTGTGAGCTGAGGGGGCACTCCTCAAGTGGAAGTCGAGGGGCATTTACAGAGGCGCCTCTGCGCCCCTGGCAAAAAAAAAGTGTTCTGCGACCGCTTACTTCGCGTAATGGACGAGCCACCCCTGCACACAGGACATAAAACCAAGAGCTCCTGTAGAAAGCTTCATCTTCTACGGCTTGGCCGGGGAGATATACAGCCCACAGCTTGGCTGGGGTTATACAGCCCTACATCTCCTTTGCTGAAGGACTTCAGTCAGCCATCACGGAAACCTGAATTCTTTTCCCTGGAAGTCTACAAAGCTCTGCTTGGTAAGGGTCACTCGCGGAAGCCAGAAGCAGTTGGTACCGGGTGTAGGGGCTCCATGCCAACAGAGGCAAAGACAGACTGCCCAGATTAGAAGTTAAGGATTTCCCCATTAGTTACAGTTATGAAGATAGTGCCTGTTCCCTGTGGACAAGATTGAGAGAGAGCCAATAGACTGCTAAGAAAGCCTTAAAGTACCTGTTTGTTTTCATTAATAAAGAACTTTGTTGAACCTTTAAGCAATCTAAAGACTCTGTTTTAAGGAAATCCAAAGGCCTTTAATATGAGGCAGTCCCAGCGTCCCGTTGGGCACACAGAATTTATGTCCTGTCTACAGTCTTATGCACAGGCCCAGCGTGCGACAGCACACTATTGTTACTTCGTGTTTTCCCTATAGGATAACAGGACAGCCTTGCACTGGGCCTGCTCCGCTGGGCATCCGGACATTGTCGACCTCTTGCTGAGCCTGGGAGCCCCTGTGAACGACAAGGATGATGTAAGGCCTTTCTTTTTTGTATCAGGATTTGAGCGAAAGCTGTTTTGGCAGAGCCCTCTTTACATGGCTGACCTCAGGCCTCCGCATTTGCTCGTGCTGCGGGCATTATTGTTATTTAGTTCATTATTATTATGAATTTTAAAACCATTTTTTTTGTGGTGTCACATGATTTCATGTCTGGAATCACTGTGGGTTTTTTGGGCTGTATGGCCATATTCCAGCAGCATTTTCACCGTACATTTGCCCACATCTAGATTGGACTACTGTAATGCGCTCTACGTGGGGCTGCCCTTGAAAACGGCTCGGAAATTTCAGCTAGTCCAGTGGGCGGCAGCCAGGATGTTAACTGGTGCTCCTTACAGAGAGAGGTCAACCCTCCTGTTCAAGGAGCTCCATTGGCTGCCGTTCATTTTCCGGTCCCAATTCAAGGTGCAGGTGCTCACCTACAAAGCCCTAAACGGTTTGGGACCTGCCTACCTGCGTGACCGCATCTCCGTTTATGAACCCACGCTCCCTTCGTTCATCCGGAGAGATCCTACTCACGATCCCACCTGCGTCGCAAGCGCGGTTGGTGGGGACAAGGGACAGGGCCTTCTCTGTGGTAGCCCCCGACTCTGGAACACCCTCCCCAAGGACATCAGACAAGCCCCTATGTTGGCAATCTTTAGGAAGGGCTTGAAGACCTGGCTATTCCGGTGTGCCTTTCCAGAATAGGAAACCCCAGCAATACATCCCAGAAGCACTTTATTAGAGATTTAAGATTGTCCGCACACTGCACTTACCCATAAATCCTTATATTTCACTTGGCATACTCAGCACTTTTTAATCTGTACCCATTACACTTGGCCCGGCCTTAGTTTTGTTGTGCTATGGTGTACTGTTTTTACTGTTTACTGTTATTGCTTTAATGTTTTGATTTGCTTTATGGTTTATGTGTATTTGTTATATTGTTGTTTTATCGAGGCCTTGGCCTTTGTAAGCCGCATCGAGTCCTTCGGGAGATGTTAGTGGGGTACAAATAAAGTTAATAATAATAATAATAATAATAATAATAATAATAATAATAATATTGGCATCTTCAGAGGTTCTGTTGACTGTTTAAAGCAAGTGTGAATGTTGCAGTTAGCAAGCTTGAACAGCATTGAGTAGCTGCAAAGTCAATCAGTGAGGGTATCTGCATAGAGGTAAACACTTGATGCATCAGCCTGGACAAAGAATATTATTTGAGAACACAGAAATTCTAGGCCAGCCTGACAACCATTATTGTTGGAGGAAGCAACCTGCCCCTTGATGCCAACTTCTCTTTTTCCAATCTAAGTTTTGTTATTATTTCCCTCTCAAAGTTATCAATATGATTATAGCAATATGTCAGTGAAGTCATACATTATCAAAACAAATCACCTATTAAGTAATGTATTGGCCTATGAGACTGTACATCTGTCGACCGATATGAAATGACTTGTTCATGACTCTGTTTCCCTATATATTAATACCTGTAACATCCGATTACCGTATGCCGTAGCCTTTTCCTGCAACACTGTTCTGAATGGTTTTGTGTCCCTCTGGTCTTTCAGGCCGGATGGAGCCCTCTGCACATCGCTGCTTCGGCAGGCCGAGAGGAGATTGTGAAAACCCTCCTGAAGAAAGGGGCTCAGGTCAATGCTGTCAATCAAAACGGCTGCACACCGCTGCATTACGCTGCTTCCAAAAACAAGCAGGAGGCAAGTGTGGCCTTTCCTTCCCTTTGGTTAAAGCCAGTGCTAGCCATACATCGTTGCTGCCTGAAGCTGTTGCCTGGCTTTTCTGGATGAACTCAAGTTGTAACATTCCCTGGTGCTCTTAATAGTATTTTCTGATTTAGTATATATTAGATGTACCTGCCACACATTACTGTGGCCAACCTTCCCTCCGTCTTTCTCTCCTTCCTTCGCTCCCTCCTTCCTTCCCTTTTCTTTTCCTTCTATTTCTCTTCTTCCTTCTTTCGCTTTTTGCTTCCATCCTTCCTCTCTCTCTCCTTCCTTCCCTCTCTTCTCTCCTTCTTTCCCTTCTTCCTTTCGCTCCCTTTCCTTCTTTCTTTTTTTCTTTCTTCCTTCTTCCTTCCTTCTCTCCCTTTCCTTCTTTCCCCCTTTTCTTCTTCCTCTCTTCTTCCTTCCTTCCTCTTTCCTTCTTCTTTCCTTTTTTATTCTATCCTTCCTTCTCTCTTTCTTCTCTCCCTCTTCTTCCTTCTTCCCTCCTTCCTTCACTCCTTTCTTTCCCCTTCCTTTCCTTTTTCTTTCTTCTCTCCTTCCTTCCTTTCTCTACCTCTCCTTCCTTCCCCCTTTTTCTTCTTCTTTCTCTTCTTTTCTCTTCTTTCCTCTACTTTTCCTTCCTTTCACTTAATGCTTCCATCCTTCCATCTCTCTTTCTTCCCTCCTCTTTCTATCCTTTCCCTCCTTCCTTTTCTTCCTTTCCTTTTTTCTTCTCTTCTTCCTTCCTTCTCCCTTTTCCTTCTTTTTTCTCTCCTTTCTTCCTTCTCTACCTCCTTCCTTCCTTCCTTCCTTCCTTCCTTCCTTCCTTCCTTCCTTCCTCTTTTCCATCTCTTCCTCTCTTCCTTCTTTCCCTCCCTCCCTCCCTCCTTCTTTCTTTCCTCCTTTTCTTTCCTTTCTTCTTCCCTCCTTCTCCTCCCTTCTTCCTTCCTCCTTCCTTCTTCTCCTTCCTTCTTTCTTCCTCTCCCCTCCCTCCTTCTTTCTTTTTCTTTCTCTCTCCTTTCTTTCTTTCTTTCTTTCTTTCTTTCTTTCTTTCTTTCTTTCTCCCCTTCCTTTCCTCCCTCTTCCTTCCCTTTTTTCTGTATCGTCATTTAGCTTTTCATCATTTAGCTTTTTTGGGGTTTTAAGTCCTTTCCGCTGTTTTTTTGGGGGGATTTTATGAATGATGGTCACTCGTTGGTCTATTAGAGGTATAGTGTCCAATTTTCGTGTCAGTTTGTCCAGTGGTTTTTGAGTTATGTTAATCCCATAAACGAACATTACATTTTTATTTATATAGATGATTTAACCATTCTTCATACATATTCAAGTCTTTCTTGGGATATTATTATTATTACACATTTGGTAATCCTGTAAATAAGAGATTACATGCCCCCCTTCTTTTTTTCACGAAAGAAGCGCCAAACCTGAAAGAATAGTGGGTGCTGCTTCACACAAAGCAGGACCAGTTCTCTGAGCTTTCCCTTCTTTATTAGATTGCACTCATGCTGCTAGAGAACAACGCCAATCCGGATGCAAAAGACCACATGGGCTCCACTCCGTTGCACAGAGCGGCCTCCAAAGGGAACCTGAAGATGATACAGATCCTTTTGAAGCACAAAGCGTCTGCCAATCTGCAGGATTCCGAAGGAAACACAGCCCTGTAAGACCTGATATACAGTCTGCCCTCTGTGTTTGTCGATTAACTCTTATTATTATTCTTACACATTTGGTTTATATAGTTTCTATAGGCATCTCTGGGTTCTCCAATGTGACTCTGTGGTCAAAACTTTTAACAAAAGTCTAACAATTGACATCAAATAGATTCTGGTCATTGGGTCTTGGTCACTTTATTGCGCATCTGCAAAGGTTTATCATTCCCAGTTGTATAAAAGGACAGTAGTATGCAACAAGTTTTGTTTTTTTGTTTTTTTTGTCGTGTCAGGAGCAACTTGAGAAACTGCAAGTCGCTTCTGGTGTGAGAGAATTGGCCGTCTGCAAGGACGTTGCCCAGGGGATGCCTGGATGATTTGATGTTTTTATCATCCTTGTGGGAGGCTTCTCTCATGTCCCCGCATGAGGAGCTGGAGCTGATAGAGGGAGCTCATCCGCCTCTCCCCGGATTCGAACCTGCGACCTGTTGGTCTTCAGTCCTGCTGGCACAGGGGTTTAACCCACTGCACCACCGGGGGCTCCATATGCAACAAGTAATATATATATGTATATAAAAAGAGAGAAAGAGATGGAGAGAAAAAGGTTTATTTATTTACTTACTTACTTATTTACGACATTTATATGCCCAAAAAGGACTCAGAGCGGCTTACAAGATATATATATACATACAATATATTATATTATTAGCATAGTACAATATCAATGAGAGCCCCCGGTGGTGCAGTGGGTTAAAGCACTGAGCTTGTTGACCGAAAGGTCGCAGGTTTGATTCTGGGGAGCGGCGTGAGCTTCCACTGTCAGCCCTAGCTTCTGCCAACCTAGCAAATGTGAGTAGATCAATAGGTACCACTCCGGTGGGAAGGTAACAGCGCGCCATGCAGTCATGCCGGCCACATGACCTTGGAGGTGTCTATGGACAACGCTGGCTCTTCGGCTTAGAAATGGAGATGAGCACCACACCCCAGAGTCAGACATGACTGGACTTAATGTCAGGGGACAACCTCTACCTTTTACAATATCAGTATTATATATTACTATATTGTACTATACCATTATATTGTAATATTATTAGTAATATTATATGTAATATAAATATATAATTATAATATATTATTATTAGTATTATATTTTATTACATTATAGTATTATAAATATTATATGTATATACATTATATTATATTACATTATATTATGGTATATTATATTATTAGTATAGCACAGGAGACAAGGAACTGGCCCCGTCTCTCTTCACTCAGCTCCAGAGCGGCAGTTGGTGCTGGGGGCAGGCCCGTAGCCAGGATTTTGTTTGGGGGGGGGGGGGCTGAGTTTGGTTCGGGGGGGGGGCGGAGTTTGGTGCAAGGCGTGGCTCCTTTCTGCCTGGGGAGGGAAATCCTTCATTGGGAGGTGTTAGCTGGCCCTGATTGTTTCTTGGTTTTGTTTTCAGCCATTTAGCCTGCGATGAAGAGAGAGTGGATGAAGCCAAGCTTTTGGTGTCCCAGGGTGCAAGTATCTATATTGAAAACAAAGAAGAAAAGACCCCCCTTCAAGTTGCCAAAGGCGGCCTGGGATCCATCCTGAGGAGGCTTGCTGAGGGTTAGCCATTGCTGCAAGCTGAAGACTTTTCACGGGGTTGGTTTTGGCTTGGGATTGACTTTATCTATCACAACTTGAATTTTTTTGTTGTTGATTATCTAACTCTTTTTATTTGTACATTTATGGACACTTTTAAACATATATCTGTACTTGTGGCAGCATGGAGTTAAAGCCCTGTTTTTCCAAAGAAGATAAACCCTTGGCAACTGTATTTCCATTTGGAGGCTATTAATTTTGCTCCATGACAGATCGCTGTCTTACAACTGTGTGATTCTCCAGATATTTTGGGACTCAAACTCCCAGCATTACTGCCTTCTTCAAAGACTATGGAGCCTCTTGTCATAAACATATCCTCTGCAACAATAGTGTCTGCTCCATGCCTTATATAGGAGATTATCAGGGGTTTAACTCATCTAAAGCAATGACAGGCCTAGTAAAATGTTTTGAAGCTTTACTTCCTGGTAATTTGCTATGGTAGCCTAAGGGTTAAGGTCTGTCATGAGAAGCAACTTCAGTGGACCATTTATATATTCCTCTCCTTTCTGCTTGTTATTGGCAGGGAAGGCCTAGCTTTGAGTTTGTTATTCTCATTTATTATTTTATGGTGTTTTTATTTTACTGTTTATGTTTTTTGTTATTTTATGGTATTATTTTTATTTGTTTTATTGTTTTTGTTATTGTTTATTATTTTATGGTTTTATTTTTAGTTATTTTATTGTTTTTTTTTCTTTTCTATTTATTATTATTATTCCTTTATTTATGTTTTCTAATTTTTTAATTTTTTTTTTTTTATTTATTTTTTTATTTTTTTTTTTTTGTTTTTTTTGTTTAACTCATCTAAAGCAATGACAGGCCTAGTAAAATGTTTTGAAGCTTTACTTCCTGGTAATTTGCTATGGTAGCCTAAGGGTTAAGGTCTGTCATGAGAAGCAACTTCAGTGGACCATTTATATATTCCTCTCCTTTCTGCTTGTTATTGGCAGGGAAGGCCTAGCTTTGAGACACAATGTGAATTTCAGTTGTTGGGATCAGCTGTTATTGGCGCCTCTCCGCTACCTTCCAAGCTCACCGTCTCAATGGTTTTGAGGTTAATGCTTTGTAAAGCTGGAGTGAGTGATTTGTTGCTGTTAGGAAGATCTTGGAGTTAAAATCAAGCTCACAACAATAAAACGCTGGAGACAAGTGGTTTATTCCTTCTTTCCACAATCCTAAAAAGACAGTTCTAAAGTTTTCCTGCTCTATATATCAGCCCCAACTTCCCATCTGCCCCCTTGTGGCCACACATGGTGCCCACAGTCTGTTAACTGCAGTTTCAATTTCCCACACAGGAGCCCCCAGTGGTGCAATGGGTTAAACCAGGGGTCCTCAAACTACGGCCCGCGGGCCAGACCCAGCCCCTTCCCCCGAGGGCATTTATCCGGCCCACGAGGTGTGGAGAAGGGTGAGAGGACCCCTGGGTTTCACCCTTGTGCCAGCAGGACTAAAGACTGACAGGTCAAACATTTGATTCAGGGGAGAGTGTGGGTGAGCTCCCCCTGTCAGCTCCAGCTCCCCGTGCGGGGACATGAGAGAAGCCTCCCACAGGGATGGTAAAAACATCAAAACATCCGAGCATCCCCTGGGCAATGTCCTTGCAGACAGCCAGTTCTCTCACACCAGAAGCGACTTGCAGTTTCTCAAGTCGCTCCTGACACAAAAAATAAAATGAAATAAAATTACCCTCACAAACCAGATGTCTTATCTACACTACCTTCCCCAACTGTACCCAGCCACCCTTGCCACCTTCCTTCTTTATGGCAGAGAACCAAAGCAGCCAGTACGGTGATCGTGACAGTTTCATCCTAAGCTGCTTAGACTAAAATATGCTTTGCCTCTTAAACCGGTTCACTGTCTGACAAGCAGTGTCCCATTCAGCTGCTGTTTGATGCCTCAGTAGCTGCTGAGCAATTGCTCCTTCTCTGTTCTCTTAATGCACTGCTTCTCAACCTTCCGAATGCCGTCACCCCTTAATACAGTTCCTCTTGTTATGGTGACCCCCAACCATAAAATTATTTTTGTTGCTACTTCACAACTGTAATTTTGCTAGTGATATGAACCATAATGTAAATATCTGATATGCAGGCGAGATACAAATGAAGTTTATTATTATTATTACATTATTGTTGATACCATATTGTTTTTGTTGACTCTACTTTTCCACTGACAGAGCTAGTTTTTTGTTTTTCTTTCAAATACAGTAAATATTCAAAAACATATATCATACTAATGTTTCAGTTAATGAGTTTAATGGTGTAACATTAGAAAATGTTGACCATTTCCACTACCTTGGCAGCCACCTCTCCACCAAAGTCAACATTGACACTGAAATACAACACTGCCTGAGCTCTGCGAGTGCAGCATTTTTCCAAATGAAGCAGAGAGTGTTTGAGGACTGGGACATCCATAGGGATACCAAGGTGCTTGTTTATAAAGCTATTGTCCTCCCAACCCTGCTATATGCCTGCAAGACGTGGACTGTCTACAGACGTCACATGCAACTCCTGGAACAATTCCATCAGCGCTGCCTCCGGAAAATCCTGCAAATCTCTTGGGAAGACAAGCAGACAAATGTCAGCGTGCTGGAAGAAGCAAAGACCACCAGCATTGAAGTGATGGTCCTCCGCCATCAACTCCGCTGGACTGGCCACGTTGTCCGGATGCCCGACCACCGTCTCCCAAAGCAGTTGCTCTACTCAGAACTCAAGAATGGAAAAAGGAATGTTGGTGGGCAGGAAAAGAGATTTAAAGATGGGCTCAAAGCCAACCTTAAAAACTCTGGCATAGACAAGGAGAACTGGGAAGCCCTGGCTCTTGAGCGCTCCAGCTGGAGGTCAGCTGTGACCAGCAGTGCTGCAGAATTTGAAGAGGTACAAATGGAGGGCGAAAGAGAGAAACGTGCCAAGAGGAAGGCACGTCAAGCCAACCCTGACCAGGACCGCCTCCCACCTGGAAACCGATGCCCTCACTGCGAAGATGCAGGTCAAGAATAGGGCTCCACAGCCACCTACAGATCCACCCCCAGGTTACCACTCTTGGAGGACCATCATCCTCGGACTACAAGGGCTCGCCTAAGTAAATAAGTATTGTTGATACCATATCGTTTTTGTTGGCCCCACTTTTCCACTTACAGAGCTGGTTTCCTGTTTTTCTTTGAAATACAGTAAATATTCAGAAACATTTAACCTACTGATGCATCAATTAATGTAATTGTATTGATATCTATCTTTATTTTGAAATATATCAGTAGCTTCTGCATTTCCCACCCTCCGTTTATATTCAAGTCAATAAGTTTTCCTAGTTCTTTTGTGGTAAAAATTAGATACCTCAGCTTATATTCAGGTTGGCTTATACTTGAGTATATATGGAACTTAATATGAGTAAAGAGAAGATCCAAATGTCCCTGATGCATTCCCTCTTTCTTCTAAAGATGGGTCTAGTTATGCCCAGATCTGGTTGTTTAATACATGTGAAGACACTTTAAATCTTGGTTTTAGTAATTATTTATTATACTTTGAAGTAGCAAAACAATCAATGTAGTTCCCCTCCTTACATTCCTCTCTGTATAAAACAGTACTGGAGGGGAGTATTATGATCCTTTGGTAAGAGATATAAAAGCAACTTGCAGGGAAAATTATAGTTTTCTTTTAGTGTACAGAGACACAGAAGAATGGTGACCACACCATTGCAAAGGCAAGTTTGGAAAAATGAACATATACATGGCTTAATTTCAATCTATTCATATCACAACAGGGAAAACAAACACAATTCCTTATGCCTTTCTTGGCGACTATATGAAGGATGCCAAAGAAGCCAAAAGTACTTGTGGAAACTATTCACATCAATGTAATCTGGATGAGACCCCAGTGGTGCAGTGGGTTAAACCCTTGTGCCGCCAGGACTGAAGACTGACAGGTTGGAGGTTCGAACCTGGGAGAGTTCAGGTGAGCTCCCTCTGTCAGCTCCAGGTCCCCATGCGGGGACGTGAGAAAAGCCTCCCACAAAAGAAGGTTAAAACATCAAAACATCTGGGCGTCCCCTGGGCAGCGTCCTTGCAGACGGCCAATTCTCTAACACCAGAAGCAATTTGCAGTTTCTCAAGTTGCTCCTGATACGAAAAAATAATAATCTGGAGTCATAATGCAGCAGGCTTCAAGTTATGAGGAAGTCATACCTCTATTGCATAAGGAGAATATGTTTTCAATCCTGTACTAGTTGCCTTGTCCCATCCTGACAAAGTTCCCCTGATCCAAGGATTCTTTCGAACAATAGGAAGGACAATGTATTGTCAAAGGCTTTCATGGCTGGAATCACTGGGTTGTTGTAGGTTTTTTTGGGCTATATGGCCATGTTCTAGAGGCATTTCTCCTGATGTTTCGCCTGCATCTATGGCAAGCATCCTCAGAGGTAGTGAGGTCTGTTGGAACTAGGAAAAAGGGTTTATATATCTGTGGAATGACCAGGGTGAGACAAAGGACTCTTGTCTGCTGGAGCTAGGTGTGAATGTTTCAACTGACCACCTTGATTAGCATACAATGGGCTGACTGTGCCTGGAGCAAACTTTTGTTGAGAGGTAATTAGGTGTCCCTGCCTGCTTCCTCTCTGTTGTTGTGCTGTTGCAATTTTAGAGTTTTTTAATAGGAAGGACAGACTGCAGAATTGATACAGTTTGACCTCACTTTAACTGCTGTCACTCAATGCTATGTAATCCTAGGATTTGTAATTTAGAATTCTATGGCTAAGAAGGCTAAAGACCTTGTAAAACTACAGCTACCCTAATTTCATAGCAATGAGCCACAGCAATTAAAACTGTGCTAAACTGCATTATTTCTACAGTGTAGATGCACCTGTAGAATGAATGAAAAGGAAAGTGGAAGGATGTGGACACAGATAATGTTGACTTCCGCTGGATCTACACTGACTATATAATGCAGTTCCAAACTGCGTTATATGGAAGTGTAGATCCAACCTTGGGAATCAATGCTAAACGAGAAGGCCTCTTCCTGGGAGATGGAGGTTTGCATCCAACCATAAACACCAAAAGGTAAGCTGTCCTTTTGCTCAAGTTGGGCCTTTGACTTTCTCTTGGTGGATGGGACAGTGCCTTGTACTACTTCCTGAGCCGATGAGTTGTTGTTGGGCCCCTGCTACAACGGTGTTAAGCTACGGAGTGGTGCTCCGTCCCCTGCGCCTCGTTCTCCGGCACCGGCGCCACTTCGATTTCCTCGGGAGTGACGTATTCGCCCGTCTCATTGGAATCCTTGCTGGGTGGCACGGCGGCAACTGGTGCGTTTTCTTGGCTGGGAATAGCCACATGCTCCGACGTCAGGGGTTCCTTCTGAGCCATAGTCCTGCAGAAGGGGAAGATTAGATTTATAGTCAACCACCAACTTTTGCAATCTTTCAGTCTCTGCTCAAAAACAACGAATTATGGCATTCAGTGGTAGAATTTATTGAGAGTCTGGAATATCTGACAGACTGTCATGGACCGCAAGTCCCATCATACAAACCAGCTGGAGATGATGGGAACCACGATTCAGCCCATCTATATAAATAAAAAGGTAACGTTCATTTGTGGGATTAACGGAACTCAAAAACCACTGGACAAATTGACACCAAATTTGGACACAAGATGCCTCAAAACCCAATGTATGTCCTTCACTTAAAAAAAATTGATTTTGTCATTTGGGAGTTGTAGTTGCTGGGGTTTATAGTTCACCTACAATCAAAGAGCATTCTGAACCCCACCAATGATGGAATTGAACCAAATTTGGCACACAGTTCTTCCATGACCAACAGAAAATGCTGGAAGGGTTTGGTGGGCAGTATCCTTTGGTTTTGGAGTTGTAGTTCACCTACATCCAGAGATCACTGTGGACTCAAACAATGATGGATCTGGACCAAACTCTACATGAATACTCAATATGCCCAAATGTGAACACTGGTGGAGTTTGGGGAAAATAGATCTTGACATTTGGGAGTTGTAGTTGCTGGGATTTATAGTTCACCTACAATCAAAGAGCATTGTGAACCCCACCAACAATAGAATTGGGCCAAACTCCCACACAGAACCCCCATGTGGGCCACAGCAACACGTGGCAGGGCACGGCTAGTCTGGTTATATTTTTTAAAGTTACAAAGCAGAAACTCCACATAAAATAGTGTTTCTCAACCTCCCTAATGCTGTTATATGGAAGTTCCTCATGTTGTGCTGACCCCCAACCATAACACTATTTTTGTTGCTACTTCATTACTGTAGTTTTGCTATTATGAATCATGATATAAATATCTGACATGCAGGATTTATTTTCATTCACTGGACCAAAATTTGGCACAAATACCCGATGCGCCCAAATTTGAATACTGGTGGGGTTGAGGGAAATGGAAGCAGGACGTTTTGAGATTTTTAGTAAACAAATACATAAATAATATGGAGACAAATGAGGACAATTCTCCAAAAGTCATTCCCCCTGAAATCCCAATTTTTCAGTAATGCAGAGCACGAAACACCAAGTGTTTTATCATTTCTATGTGTTTGAATTCCCCTAGTGCAGTGTTTCCTAATGCTGCAACCCCTTAATACAGTTCCCCTATGTTGTGGTGACCCCCCAACCATAACATTATTTTCGTGCTACTTCACAACTGTAATTTTGCTCCTGTTATGAATTTATATGTAAATATCTGATATGCAGGATGTGTTTTCATTCACTGGACCAAATTTGGCACAAATATCCAAACATCTGAATACTGGTGGGGTTGGGTGGAGGAATTGATTTTGTCATTTGAGAGTAGTAGTTGCTGGGATTTATAGTTCACCTACAATCAGAGCATTCTGAACACCAACGATGGAATTGAACCAATCTTGGGACACAGAATTCCCATGACCGACAGAAAATACTGGAAGGGTTGGATAGGCATTGATTTGAGTTTTGGAGTTGTAGTTCACCTACATCCAGAGAGCACTATGGACTCAAACAATGATGGATCTGGACCAAACTTGGCACGGATACTCAATATGCCCAAATGTGAACACTGGTGGAGTTTGGGGAAAATAGACCTTGACATTTGGGAGTTGTAGTTGCTGGGATTTATAGTTCACCTACAACCAAAGAGAATTCTGAACCCCACCAATGATAGAATTGGGCCAAACTTCCCACACAAAATCCCCATGACCAACAGAAAATACTGTGTATTCTGATGGTCTCACTATACCCTGTGGTCTCAACCCCCAGGTTGAGAAATGCTGATGTGTTAGAGTAAGAAGGCCTCAAAGGTTAGACTCAGAGGTTACTCCTCATCCTACCACTGCTCCGTGTTGAATCTGTTTCAACAATAAATTCCCACCCCTTCATGAGATGAGTTTCAAAACTTACTGCATTTCACTGACAGCAGCTTTTTCTTTCCTCTTCTTTTTCTTCTCCTTTGTCATTACAATCCAGACTATGACGCAGATTAGGGCGGCCGCCAGAATGGCCGCAATCAGCGCTGCGGCAATAATGCCGCTTTCCGAATCTGGAAAAACACGGTCCCCTTTTGACATTTTGCAGGACTAAATTTGTTATATTGACAGAACTAAGACAAAACATAGTACCTAGCTATATATACATATACATATACATATACATTATAATAAATCACACAGTCCTAGATGCTTGGGAAGTGTTCAACTTGTGATTTTGTGATAGAAAATCCAGCATATATATCTCATTTGCTGTGACATACTGTGTTTTTGTGTCAGTAAAATAATTATTAAAATATTATTATTATTATTATTATTATTATTATTATTATTATTAATTATGTTTGTATTCTGCCTCCATCCTCCTGGACTTGGAGTAGCTTATAGAGAGACAAGCCTGATCAACATAGTTAAAATACAACACATTAAAATTCATAAAACAGAATAATAAAACAATATGAAACAAACAACCAGATAACACAATATAAAAACAGCATAGGACGTATATGCTGCTTTTGTTCCAAATACAACCCAATGTCCACAGTGTCTGCCTTTCATGTTCTAATTCTGCAGACTACTTCAACCAGAGAAGTCAGCCATAGCAGAGCTCCTGATGAACCAACCTGGACACAGCATATGATTTGAGAAGGCAGAAATACTGAACCACTCTCACAACCACGTCAGACTACACAGCAAAGCCATTGAAATCCACAAGCATGTGGACAATTTCAACAGAAAGGAAGAAACCATAAAAATGAACAAAATTTGGGTACCAGTATTAAAAAAAAATCTAAAATCAGGACAGTAAATAAAGAGCAACACTCAAACAACAGGGAAATTCCAGACAAGAATTAATCAGTGCCAGCTAACACCTCACAACAAAGTATTCCCCCAGGCAGGAATCAGCCAGGCTTTGAAGCTGCAAGGCCATTCAATGCTAATCAAGGTGGCCAATTGCAACATTCACACTTGCCTCAAGCAGACAAGAGTTCTTTCTCCAACCTTGGACATTCCACAGATAAAAACCTCACTTGCCAAGTTTCCATCAGACCTCACAACCTCTGAGGATGCCCACCACAGATGTGGGTGAAATGGCAGGAGAGTATGCTTCTGGAACATGGCCATACAGCCCAAAAAACCCACAGCAACCTGTATTGGAATACATTGGAAAACGTCTGGAGAGAATGCTTCTGGAGCAAGTTACAATTGGCCAGCTTGATTAGCATTGAGCCTTGCGGCTTCAAAGCCTGGCTGCTGCTTCTCCCGGGGGATCCCTTGTTGGGAGGTGTTAGCTGGCCCTGATAATTTCCTGTCTGTAATTCCCCTGTTTTCTGAGTATTGTTCTTTTTTTACTGTCTTGATTTTAGAGTGTTTAAATACTGGTAGCCAGAAGGTTGGCAGTTCAAATCCAGGGAGTATGGCCATACAGGCCAGAAAACTCACAGCAACCCAGTGATTCTGGCCATGAAAGCCTTCGACAACACACTGAACAAAAATGTTGCCATAACCATGAAAAGCTCACGTTTGATAGTGAGGTCAATCTGACAGGTGGCGTTGCCGAGGGAGTTGAAGGCGGTGCATTGGTAGTAACCTTCCTCAAACTTGGTTAGGTTGCCGATAGTCAAGACACCAGTTTGGGGATCTGTATCCAAAGGAAAGAAAATTCAGGTTGAAAAATGCATAGGAATGTGATGCGGTCAATTTCAAGGTCTCTTATTTGGCTGACCATCAGTGGAAACGGCAGAGTCCACTAGATGGAGACATAGGACTTGTTCTTGTGTGCCTTCGAGTCCTTTCCAATTTAGGGTGAAGCTATAGCAGGCTTTGCTTGGCTTGGTTCAAATTGGCTTTGCCTTTGCCTCCTTTGAGGCTGAAAGAGTGTGACTTGTCCAAGGTTACCCAGTGGGTTTCTATGGCCGAACAATGAGTCCTCTTCGGGGGAGATAAAGCGCGGTATAAATCTATATAAATAAAAATGTAATGTTTGTTTGTGGGATTAACATAATTCAGAAACCACTGGACGAATTGACACGAAATTTTGTCACAATATACCTAACAGTCCAACAAGTGTTTATCACCCCTAAAAATACAACCCCCCCCCAAAAAAATACACCCTATCTATCTATCTATCTATCTATCTATCTATCTATCTCTACACGTATACTCATATACATACACACATATGTATATATATATACCCAATCACACACAAATACACACACACATCTACATACACATATATACAGATATACATGCACACACACATATACACATGCACACATACATACACATATGTATACTCAAGCACACACAAATATATATACACACACACATCTACATACACATATATACATATGTACATGCACACACACATATATACATGCTCATATACATACACATACATACCAAAGCACACACAAATATACACACACATCTACATACACATATATATGCACACATATACATGCACACATACATACACACATATATAAACACAAATATGCATATAGACAAGCACACAAATATACACAATATACATAAACACATATAAGCACACAAATATATACACAACTATGCACACACATATATACACCTATACACATACACATATAAACACAAATACAAATATATACACATACACATACACACATAGCACACATATATACACCATATATAATATATATATATATATATATATATATATACACACACACATACACACACACACACACACACACACGTAAACACATATATACACAGATACAGAAATATACACACACACACACACAAAACACATATATACAGACTGGGACACAAAAATGCATGGCAGGGGATGGCAAGTATACATAATAACAACAACAACAAATGCCAGCCAGGGCAGTTGAGATCGTAGTGCTAGAATCATATGATGCTTTCACGCCATTGGGCCATATTGCTTTACGGCACAAACCGTTGCAGTGTGAGTTGCTGATTTATTTATTTACCATTTATTTACCACACTTGTATCCTGCCCTTCGCACCCTGAAGGGGACTCAGGGCAGCCTCACAAAGGCAAGATTCAATGCCGTATATACATATACATATCGGTAAATAAACAACTGCATTAAAATCAACCCAATTAGAAACAGCCAATGACAGTCAACTCCGATTCTGAGTAATGCTAAAGCAATTGGGAAAAATTACTCACTGTAGCTATCTGTCACTGGCATGGCCGCATCCCCCGAGAGGCGATGCCAGTAGTACTTGGGAACGGGCATCCCGATTTCCGAAAGGCAGGAGAGACTAATGATGTGGCCCAGTTCGACCTTTTCGAGCTGTTGGGTGAAGCTGCAAAGGGGCTTCGAAGGGGGAGCTGGAAAGCAACAAAACAGGTGAGATTTTGCTGTAAAGTACCAATGGTTTATAGAATCCAAGGGTACATCTGCACTGTATAATTAATGCAGTTTGGCACCACTTTAGATGCCATGACTCAAAGCTATGCAACCCTGGGCGCTGTAGTTTGGTGAGGCCCATCACTCTTTGGCAGATAAGTCCTTGTAAAACTACGAGTTCCGGGATTCCATAGCAATGGGCCATGGCAGTTCAATTTGTGTCAAAATGCATGCATTCTACAGTATAGATGCACCCTTACTTGGCAAAATTGCATTATATGACAGATGGGGCCCAAGATAGAGAAGACCAAAGAAACCGTAATCTACAATTCCCATGATGCCATAGCAGGGTGCCATGGTGGTTAAAGTGGCATCAAACTACTTTAATTCTACAGTGTAGCTACACCCCAAGCTTGTTATAACCTCTCTTTTTTTGGCCGAAAAGCTGGTGTAGAAACACAGAAAAGGGGATGCTCCGCTCCCAATATCATGTAATCAATGTAGGAGATGTTTTCAGTTCGAAAAATTAAAAAGTAAGACACAGCGGATGGGGCATAAAGTAGCCAATGCATCTGTCCCCAAATCTGTCCCATAGAGATATTTTGTTGCAGGGTCCACTTCTTAACCCTCCGAATCCCAGAATTGGTGCAGAATTAGAAGGGAAATACTAGGACTTGGAGCAATGGGGTCAAATTACAGGAAAGGAAATTCTACCTGAACAATAGAAAGAACTTCCTGACTGTAAGAGCTGTTCAACAGTGGAACTCTCTGCCTTGGAGTTTGGTGGAAACTCCTTCCTTGGAGGCTTTTAAACAGAATTAGAAAGGAAATACTAGGACTTGGAGCAATGGGGTCAAATTACAGGAAAGGAAATTCCACCTGAACAATCGAAAGAACTTCCTGACTGTAAGAGCTGTTCAACTGTGGAACTCTCTGCCTTGGAGTTTGGTGGAAACTCCTTCCTTGGAGGCTTTTAAACAGAATTAGAAAGGAAATACTAGGACTTGGAGCAATGGGGTCAAATTACAGGAAAGGAAATTCCACCTGAACAATAGGAAGAACTTCTTGACTGTTAGAGCTGTTCAACAGTGGAACTCTCTGCCTCGGAGTCTGGTGGAAACTCCTTCCTTGGGGGCTTTTAAAAGAATTAGAAAGGAAATGCTAGGACTCGGAGCAATGGGGTCAAATTACAGGAAAGAAAATTCCACCTGAACAATAGAAAGAACTTCCTGACTGTAAGAGCTGTTCAACAGTGGAACTCTCTGCCTTGGAGTCTGGTGGAAACTCCTTCCTTGAAGGTTTTTAAACAGAAAGTAAATACTATGACTAGGAGCAATGGGGTCAAATTACAGGAAAGGAAATTCCACCTGAACAACAGAAAGAACTTCCTGACTGTAAGAGCTGTTCAACAGTGGAACTCTCTGCCTCAGAGTCTGGTGGAAACTCCTTCCTTGGAGGCTTTTAAACAGAAGCTGGATGGCCAACTATTAGGGGTACTGTGATTGCATTTTTCCTGCATGGCAGGGGTTTGGACTAGATGGCCCATGTGGTCTCTTCCAACTTTGTTATTCTATTATTCTACCTACTCAAGACGTAGACAACCATCGATTTTTCGAAATGGGCAGGTGGATTCCCGAAGCTCAGCACTTCGCAGGTGTACACTCCAGTCTCCTTTGCTTGCATTTGCAAGATGGTTAGCGAGGCGTTCCCTGTGCCGTTGACCACTTGGATTCGGCCCTTAAATTCGGCAGAAGTGTAAGGCTGGCCTTCCTTGGAATAATAAATCTGTAGCACAAAACGTGAGCTTAATCAGAAAACTTCTCTATATATAAAAGTCAAAGTCTATATATAAAAGTCAAAAGTCTGTATGCTTGTTGGTTGGTTGGTTTGTCCCACAGACCTTGTGGTGGCACAGTGGGTTAAACTGCTGAGCTGCTGAACTTGCTGACTAAAAGGTTGGCAGTTCAAATCCGGGGAGCCGGGTGAGCTCCAGCTGTTCGGACCAGTTTCTGCCAATCTAGCAGTTCAAAACATGCAAATTTTTAATTTCTGTATGTATGTATTTTATCTTTTACAATTTAGCTGTAAATCGCCTAGAGCATTCTCGGATGGAGGGCGATAAATAAGTAATTAAATATGATGAATGATGATGAACTTTGAGTAGATCAATAGGTACTGCTTCTCTGGGAAGGTAATGGTGCTCCATGCAGTCATGCTGGCCACATGACCTAGGAGGTGTCTACGGACAACGCCGGCTCTGTGCCGTCACACCCAGACCCTATAAAAATAAAACTAAGATGTGCTTCTCTCTTTGTCTGGGCGGACCGCGGAGGTCTTTCTTTAGAAGCTTGAGATTCCCAGCAACTGAGGCTACTACAGGCTTTGAACATCAAAACAGAATATTTATTTTTCAAAGTCCTTGCAGACTTGGCACAGCTTGTTAAAGCATCAGATAAAACAAATAACAGCACAATTGAAAGCAATATAAAAACAATACGGCTGAAAGAAACACAGCTGTAGAGTAAGCTTCTTGGTTTTTATGCATGGCAAATCGTTTTTCTGTGTGGACTGGCAAAATGTGAATTATGCATGATTTTCATTTCACCACATACACTGCCATATAAAATCCAGATTACCGGCTTTGAACTGGATTATATGGCAGTGTAGAATCAGCCTAAAATGCTCTAGAAATGTACGTTTAGTTTTAAATAGCAGTATTTCCCCTGAGGCAAGAATATGGCTCTATTTATTTACTTTACGGAGCAGCTCAGTTGGATACGCATAATAAAAAAAGGAGGGCTCATGAAACTGAACGTTAGGGTTGACTAACGCGTTAATCAATTTTATCTCATGGTTTCTGTTGACCCAAAAGCAGGCTGCACCCAAACGCTATCAAAAGACTGTTGGTTAAAGCATTTAAGTGCGCACACACAACTTAAAACAAAGTTGTACAACTCTACTACATTTCCAGGCAACAAAGTGCAATATTGTCAAATTGTGGCAACGTATCTCCCAGTTTGGAACAGTTTTAAGTACTTTCAAAAGAACAGGGGGTTTTCCTCTAATACTGTAGAAAATATATATGATCCACTTCCTTATGCAAACTCTTTGACTTGAGCCTGCAAAAAACTTTTCGTCCAGTCTGAAAGCGTGCTGAATTACAGAACACTGAGTGATCTATTTTTCAAACTTTGACAGGAAAAATATATAACTTGGGTTCTTCTACATCAGCGTTTCTCAACCTTCCTAATGCCGCGACCCCTTAATCCAGTTCCTCATGTTGTGATGACCCCCAACCATAACATTATTTTTGTTGCTATTTCATAACTGTAATTTTGCTACTGTTATAAATCATCATGTAAATATCCAATATGAATGTGTATTTTCATTCACTGGACCGAATTTGGTACAAATACCCAATACGCCCAACTTTGAATACTTGTGGGGTTGGAGAGGGGATTGATTTTGTCACTTAAGAGTTGTAGCTGCTGGAATTTATAGTCCACCTACAATCACAAAGTATTCTGAACTCCACCAATGATGGAATTGAACCAAACTTGCCACACAGAACTCCCATGACCAACAGAAAATACTAGAAGAGTTTGATGGGCATTGACCTTGAATTTTTGGAGTTGTAGTTCACCTACATCCAGAGAGCACTGTGGACTCAAACAATGATGGATCTGGACCAAATTTGGTATGAATATTCAATACGCCCAAATGTGAATACTGGTGGAATTTGGGGGAAAACAGACCATGGCATTTGGGAGTTGTAGTTGCTGAGATTTATAATCCACCTACAATCAAAAAGTATTCTGAACTCCACCAATGATGGAATTGAACCAAACTTGCCTCACAGAACTCCCACGACCAACAGAAAATACTGGAAGAGTTTGATGGGCATTGACCTTGAGTTTTGGAGTTGTAGTTCACCTACATCCAGAAAGTACTGTGGACTCGAACAATGATGGATCTGGATCAAACTTGGCATGGATATTCAATATGCCCAAATGTGAATACTGGTGGAATTTGGGGGAAACAGACCTTGACATTTGGGAATTGTAGTTGCTATAGTCAAGGAGAACTCTGAACCCCACCAATGAGAGAATTGGGCCAAACTTCCCACACAGAACCCTCATGACCAACAGAAAATACTGTATTTTCTGATGGTCTTTGGCGACCCCTCTGACACACCCTTGCAATCCCCCTGCGGTCCCAATCCCCAGGTTGAGAAATGTTGATGCAGAGTAAGAAGGCCACAAAGGTTAGACTCAGCAATTACTCCACTCCACTTCTCTGTGTTGAATCTGGACCAATGATGGATCTGGACCAAACTTGACACGGATATTCAATATGCCCAAATGTGAACACTGGTGGAGTTTGGGGGAAGCAGACCTTGACATTTGGGAGTTGTAGTTGTGGAATTTATAGTTCGCTTACAATCAAAGAGCATTCTGAACCCCACCAACGATAGAATTGGGCCAAACTTCCCACACAAAACCCCCATGACCAACAGAAAATACTGTGTTGCTGTAGGTCTAAGTGTTCAGTGTGACTTTGATGCTATATGGCCATGTTCTAGAAAAACCTACAACAACTCAGTTATTCCGGCTATGAAAGCCTTCGACAATACACAGAAAATATTGTGTTTTCTGATGGTCTTTGGTGACCCCTCTGTCACCCCTGGTGACCCACCCCAGGGGTCCCGACCCCCAAGTTGAGAAACACTGATCTACACTAAAGACTTAAGGCAGCTTGATACCAGCACAGTGCTATTTGTAGAATTTGTAGTTTGATGAGGTCCCAGCATTCTTGCGCAGAGAAGACTAAAGACTTTGTGAAACTGCAGCTCCCAAATTCCATAGAATTGAGTCATGGCAGCTAAAGCGGTGTCAAACTACATTCATTCTAGATTTGATTTTGCGACATGGACTTACTTGCGGATACAAAATGAACCCTGGAAATGAAAGCCAAAGAGTTATCTTTTCTTTTTTGGTCGATCAGGTGTCCTTACCTTGTTTCTCCAGCTACACCTTCCCCGTGCGTCTGTCATGTACACCATCTTTTGGCAATGACCGGCGGATGGGTCAGTCACAGAGGGGCACGGGGACTGCTGCATTTGACAGAAATGCGCCCGTCTAAGTGTTCAGTGTGACTTTGATGCTCAGTAGTACATCACACAGAGCACTCTTGGAACAGGAGCCATTCTCAAGCCATTCTCAATGGGCTTTTTCGCTGAGATGCAAATCTAACGGTGATTAGATTTCCAAATCGAGCCCCAAGACTCAAGACCTTGCAAGTTTATTTCACAAAAGAGTCTGCAAATCTGTGGCTCCATCTACACTGCCATGTAATGCAGTTTGAAACTGCATTATATGATCAGTGTAGATCCATCTAATGCAGTTAAACTGCACTGAATTGCAGTGCATGAGTCTACACCGACTAGATAATACAATGCAGTTTAAGGTCATTGTAATGCATTATATGAGTCTACACCAACCAGAAAATATAATGCAGTTTAAGGTCATTGAAATGCATTATCTGAATCTACACCGGTAGGCTGTTAGGAATTGTGGGACTTGAAGTCCAAAACACCTGGAGGGCCGAAGTTTGCCCATGCCTGGTCTACACTGACCAGATAATATAATGCAGTTTAAGGTCACTGAAATGCATTATCTGAATCTACACCAATTATAATGTATTTTCAAACTCAATTATATGGCAGTGGAGATGGAGTCTATGATACCTTGAGTGTTACGGGAGTGTTGTAGAACACTAAGGGTAGATGTATGGCATTCGGATGCCACTTGAATTGCCCTGGCTCAGTGCAATGAGATTCTGGAAGTTGTCGTTTGCTGAGACAGAGAAGGCTCAAGACCTTACAAAACTACAACTAACCAGGACTCCATAGCATTGCCCCATGTCAGTTAAAGCCGGGGAGAGAGAGCAAGTTAAAAATAAATTATTATTATTATTATTATTATTATTATTATTATTAGCCATCTCCTGCCACACGTTGCTGTGGCCCAGTCTGTGTATATGTGGTTTTGTTCATGCGTTGTAATGTATTTGGGGGATGGGGATTGGCCTTTTAAGTCCCTTCCACTGTGTTTTTCAGTGTTTTTATGAGTGATGGTCTCTCAATGGCTTGATAGGTGTATTGTGTCCAAATTTGGTGTCAATTTGTCCAGTGGTTTTTAGTTATGTTAATCCCACAAACTAACATTACATTTTTATTTATATAAACTAGCCGTCCCCTGCCACGTGTCGCTGTGGCACAGTCTGTGTATATGTGCTTTGTGTGTGTATGTTTGTGTATATTGTGCATGCGTTGTAATGTATTTTTTATTTTTTATTTTGGCTTATTAAGTTGCTTCTGCTGTGTTTTCCAGTGTTTTTATGAGTGATGGTCACTCATTGGCCTGATAAGTGTATTGTATCCAAATTTGGTGTTAATTCGTTCAGTAGTGTTTGAGTTATGTTAATCCCACAAACTAACATTACATTTTTATTTATATAGATGATGATGATTATGATGATGATGATTATTATTATTATTATTAAAGTGGGGTCAAACGGCTTTAATTCTACAGTACAGATACACTCGTAGACAGTCAGTGTGCTGTAATTGCTTGAGGTCTCTGGAGAAAAGGGTTCAAATACTTGCTCGGCCATTGAAAACCTTGTGTGAGTCACACACTCTCAGCCCCAGAAAACCCCATGATGAATTCACCTGGAGGTGGAAATGTTGAAAGATACACAACCACAAAGGACCTAAAGCAGTGGATCCCAACCTGTGGTCCATAGACCACCAGTGGTCTGCAAGAACAAAAATATGGTCCGCGGCATCACTATTACTACACCATTAGCTCAAAACCAAACAGCAACAAGAGAGACTGGTCTTACGAAACCCTCTTATAGTTCCAAGGCAATGGGAATGTCGGGAGGGAAGAGGCTCAATACCGACGAAATATTACTACTACCACATCAGCTCTAGATGATTAAATATGGTTTTCTGTGGGCGAGCAGATGGCAACTACTGGATGGCATATGTTCTGTATCAGAAACTAGAGCTGATGTGGTCTATCCAATGCATTTTTCTGAAACAGCACCCCAAATAACCAAACCAAATCTAAAGTTGACCAAAAACCAATTCGTAACCCTTTTGGTACTAATGTTGTAGAGTGGTCCATAACATTTAGGGAATATTTCAAAACTAACTGTATCAAATCGTAAATACTCAGTTATGAAAACAAACAAATAAAATGAACAGGGCAACAACAACAAAAAAAAGTCTCCTTACTATGGCAGGATTAATTATTCTGGAGTTGTGGAAGGTCCACTGAATGAATAAATCGGACACAGAGGCCTGCATTGGATAGATGCAGGGGATCGTGATGTTTCCGCCAACGGTTGTGTTCATGGACCTCTGCGATGATGTGATGACCGCGCAACTCGCAGGACCTATGGAGGATAAACCATTTCTGATGTAATGTATTATTGAAGACTTTCACGGCCAAAATCACTTGGTTGTTGTAGGTTTTTTGGCTGTATGGCCATGTTCTAGGACCTCACAACCTCTGAGGATGCTTGCCATAGATGCAGGCGAAAACATCAGGAGAGAATGCTTCTAGAACATGGCCATACAGCCCGAAAACCTACAACAACCCACTTTCTGATGTATTCTGCACTTTCCAATTGCCGAAATAAATATTTTATTGTTTATTTATTTACAGTATTTATATTCCGCCCTTTTCACCCCGCAAGGCACTCAGGGCGGATCACAATGTACATATAAATGGCAAACATTCAGTGCCATAGACACACAACATATATAGACAGACACTCAGATTTTTTAAAATGCAGGGAATTTTAGAAGCAGTGGTCCATGGGAATCACCTGATTTGATAGCACACCTCCCCAGTTTTTGTTCTGCACCCAAAATATACTCTTCTTGGGTTGTTGTGTGTCTTCCTGGCTATCTGGCCAAGTTCCAGAAGCATTCTCTCCTGACGTTTCGCCTGCATCTATGGCATGTCATAGATGCAGATGAAATGTCAGGAGAAAATGCTTCTGGAACATGGCCATACAGCCTGGAAAACACACAACAACTCAGCGATTCCAGCCATGAAAGCCTTTGACAATATATTAGACTGTTTTTACTTGCTACCTTAGTTCATTTTGACCCATTTTGAATCTCAATCAAGAGGCAAGAACAGGAAATAGTTACTGTAAAATAAGAAGAAGTAATAGAAGAAGAAGAAGAAAAAGGAGAAGCATAATAATGTGTTGTCGAAGGCTTTCATGGCCGGAATCACTGGGTTGCTGTGAGTTTTCAGCGCTGTATGGCCAAGTTCCAGAAGCATTCTCTCCAGGCATTTTGCCACATCTATGGCAGGCATCCTCAGAGGTTGTGAGGTCTGTTGGAAACTAGGAAAATTGGGTTTGTATATCTGTGGAATGATATCCAGGGTGGGAGAAAGGACACTTGTCTGCTGGAGGCAAGTGTGAATGTTGCAATTGGCCACCTTGATTAGCATTAAATGGCCTTGCAGCTTCAAAGCTTGGCTGCTTCCTGCCAGGGAGAATCCTTTGTTGGGAGGTGTCAGCTGGCTGGAATTCTCCTGCTTCCTGAGTGTTGCTCTTTATTTACTGTCCTGATTTTAGAGTTTTTTAATACTGGTAGCCAGATTTTGTTAATTTCCATGGTTTCTTCCTTTCTGTTGAAATTGTCCATATGCTTATGGATTTCAATGGCTCTATGTGTAGTCTGACATGGTGGTTGTTAGAGTGGTCCAGCATTTCTGTGTTCTCCAATAGAACTGCAAGGCCCTTCAATGCTAATCAAGGTGGCCAATTGCAACATTCACACTTGCTTCCAGCAGACAAGAGTGCTTTCTCCCACCCTGGACATTCCACGGATATAAAAACCCCACTTGCTTAGTTTCCAACAGACCTCACAACCTCTGAAGATGCCTGCCAGATGTGAGTGAAACATCATGAGAGAATGCTTCTGGAACATGGCCATGCAGCCTGGAAACTCACAGCAACCAAGCATAATAATAATAATAATTATAATAATTATTATTATTATTATTGCGCCAAACTCCTCTGGGACTTCTGAATTCAGACAGACAGAGTTCTGGAGCACAATACTCCTGACCTCACAATCACGTTAAAAAACAAAGTATGGATTGTAGATCTCGCAATCCCAGGTGTCAGCAGGATTGAAGAGAAACAACAGGAAAAACTGACACGATATGAGGATTTAAAGATCGAACTGCAAAAACTCTGGCACAAGCCAGTCAAGGTGGTCCCAGTGGTGATCGGTACACTGGGTGCAGTGCCTAAAGACCTTGGCCAGCATTTAAACACAATCAGCTCTGACAAAATTACCATCTCCAGCTGAAAAAGGCCACCTTACTGCACGCATGATTCACCGATACATCACACAGTCCTAGACACTTGGGAAGTGTCCAACGTGTGATCCAATTCAACAGCCAGCAGAGTGTCTGCTGTGGACTCATCTTGTTGTGTTTCAAATAATAATAATAATAATAATAATAATAATAATAATGGTAATAGAGTTGGAAGAGACCCATTTTCTAAACTCCAACAGACCTCACTACCTCTGAGGATGCTTGCCATAGATGCAGGCGAAACGTCAGGAGAAAATGCCTTTAGGACATGGCCATATAGCCCGAAAAAACCTACAACAACCCAGTGATTCTGGCCATGAAAGCCTTCGACAACATAATAATAATAATAATAATAATAATAATAATAATAATAATAATTTAATATAATATAAATTAATATAAATAAAATATTATTAATAATAATAATCCTCATGATATGAGGATTTAAAGATCGAACTGCAAAGACTCTGGCACATGCCAGTCAAGGTGGTCCCAATGGTGATCGGCACACTGGGTGCAGTGCCTAAAGATCCTGGCCTGCACTTAAAAACAATTGGCACTGACAAAAATTACCATTTGTCACCTGCAAAAGGCTACTGGGATCTGCATGCATTATTTGCCAATACATCACACAGTCCTAGACACTTGGGAAGTGTCCGACATATGATCAGCATAGGGATCTTGTTTGCTGTGTACTAATCTTGTTGTGTATCCAGTAATAATATTGTGTGAGCCTTACCTGTAATGACGGCCATAATGGCAAATATCTTCAACACGGTGGCTCCCATTTTTGTAAAGCTTCTCAGAGGACGCAGCTGCATGCAAAGGCAAAACCCAACTGAGGTTTCAAAAAAACATGGCCCTTGTTTGGCTTATCAGGAGAGCAGAAGCAAGTCAACAGAGCGTTTTTCCCCCTCGTCTACTTTTATCAGATTGCTAGGACTATTCTCAGGGAAGCTGGGCGATTTCTTTGGTCGAAATCTCGTCGCGGGGTGTGGTCCTGTTGAAATATTCGCTAATAATACACCTCATAATTCGGGCAGGATCGTACCGCCATTACTCACGTCCGTGTAATTCATATTTCAGTTGAAACCCAAGCGTCCAATCAATGTTCACACACATCCCCAACACACACCTTGTATGATGCACACCCAGGTCCCATCGACGCTGTGAAATAATTCGGTTTAATTGCATTGTACTCAGTTTAAACCCATATAATGCAGTATAATTGCACTGAATTGCATTATATAAGTCTACATTGGCCATATACAGTGTTCCCTCACTACTTCGCGGTTCGCTTTGAGTGGACTCGCTGTTTCGTGGTTTTCAATAAATATTAATTTAAAATATATATTCGCGGGTTTTTGCCGCCGCCGCTCTCTGAGACGCTTTCCCTCCTCAGTCCTTCCTCCCTCCAGCCTTGAAGGACCTTTCCTTCCTTTCCTTCACTTTATTTTAAGATTATAAAGACTTAAAATAGTGTATAACTACGAAAATAATGTTTAAATATTAAAATAACTATAGAGTCCCTACATAAAGGTAAAGGTTTTCCCCTGACATTAAGTCCAGTCGTGTCCGATTCTGGGGTGTGGTGCTCATCTCCATTTCTAAGCCGAAGAGCCAGCCTTGTCCATAGACATCTCCAAAGTCATGTGGCCAGCATGACCACATGGAGCGCTGTTACCTTCCCACCAAAACGATACCTATTAATCTTCGCACATTTGCATGTTTTCGAACTGCAATGACTGTATGTAGTGCCGTTACCTTCCCACCGGAGTCGTACCTACTGATCTACTCACATTTGCATATTTTCAAACTGCTAGGTTGGCAGAAGCTGGGGCTGACAGCGGAAGCTCACACCGCTCCCCGGATTCGAACCTGCGACCTTTCGGTCAACAAGTTCAGCAGCTCAGCGCTTTAACCCACTGCGCCACCGATGTAGCATCCCTACATCGTGGTTTTTCACTTATTTTGGGAGGTCCTGGAATGTAACCCCCACGATAAGTGAGGGAACACTGTAATGCAGTTTGAAATGCAGTGCAAATGGGGCCTAGGAGTTGTATTGGCCAGTATAGTTTTGAATGTGACTTTGGAAAGATCAGGGTTTGAATCCTCACTTGACTGGGTGTCCTTGGGGTGCATCTGCACTGGAGAATTAATGTGGTTTGATGCCACTTGAAATGCCTTGGTCCAATGCTATGAAATTGTGGGAGTTGTCATTTTGAAATCATGGAGGAATTTAAAAGGGTCTGGCCCTGAAGGAGAGACCCTGCGGACCCAACAAAGAGGGCTCACTATAATGGTGAGCAAAGAGGAGCCCAATGTAAAAGGTTTTTCCTAAGTTCCCAAAAGAGATCTCACCAAAGTTGAAGGAAGCGCCACCGAGATGATTTTATTGCGATTCAGCTGAAAAGGATGCAAAGCGGCAATATTTTACCAAGCTGAGCATACAGTGTACAAAAAAAGGCCTTTTTATACATGAAACAGAGCTGGCAGGTTTGAATCTCCTATTCCCCGCCCCTCTGCCGGCTCAAAGATGATTGGCTGGCGCTCTACAGCTGGGAGGAAGCTTGGCATCCTCCTGAGCGCCTGGACCAATCGCTGGGCTTCTGCCGCCTCGGCGTCCTGGCGAATCAGGAGAGAGGGAGGCGGGACGAGAGGGAAACAATGGATTCTTGAGAGGATTATGGAAGTAGGAAATGTCCAAGTGGTCAGCGAGTCCCAGGGGGGGCTGCGAGCCAGCCTTTTCTTTTGTCTTTGAGTGGCTGCAATAAACGTTGATAGCTGGCAAGCCTGCCATAATCCAGATTTTTCCAGTGCTGAGAGACAGGAACAATGAGGGAATTTTGGCTGTGGTTTCCGTGGATAAAAGTTGAATCAGTTACAGATTAGGACGAAGTGTGGCTTTCCGAAGGCTTCCTTTGTCCTATTGAGATATGATCATAAATGCCAATTGACCACTTCCTCTGAGGGGCCAACTCCGAGGCCAGAGGTCACGATCCTTTGCTATTGTCCATGCAAAAAGTGTCTTTTGATAAGGTTCTTTTCAACTGGAGATTTCCTTCTTTCCAGGGTCATGCAGGGGTGGCTGCCTTGTATTTTTATACATTTTTCAATAAAGGGGAATTGGGCAAAAGGGTCAGGAAAAGGTCAGATACACAGGGAGGAATATAGAAATATAGAAATCATGTTATAGAAAATATACCCACTTATCCCTCCTGCCAGAGTCCCATAGAAGTTCAAGAGACTACATAAGTGTAAAGGGAGGTGGTTTCTCAGTAATAAATGTGCTACCTTCTGCTATACGTATATGAAACATAGGGCATAAGACCTTCATTAAATGTACACACTATCTAACATGGGAAGGGTCCTTTTTGTTGTTAGTGGATTGGCAAATTGACCAAGGCTTAACCCATGGTCTGGTGTCCTTGTCCTTAGCAAAACTATAAGTTACTATCTTTCATGGGGGGGTGGTGGTGGTCATGTTCGACTTCAGTTTGGGGAGGCACCAGCATTTTTTTGTCAGAGGAGACAAAATAACTTGACAAATGGTGTCAAACTGCATTCATTTTACAGTGTAGTTTCACTCTAACTTATCTTCCTCCTCTCCAGCTATTAAAACCCATTGGGTGACATTGGGCAAGCCTGAGAGGAAGGCAATGGCAAACCTCTTGCCAAGAAAACCATTAAGTGGAGTCGCAAAAGGTTGGAAACAACTTGAAGGCACGCAACAGCCATTGAAGAGGCCAAAATCCCATCTTCTTACTCTTCTCCTTCCTTCTGAATACAAACTTTCTTTTGTATCTTGAAGCTATTGAATTAAGCTGAGTATGAAAGTGGAGGGGGAAAAAATCCAGGACATTTTGAAAGCAACCAAACAACTGGGATGACAAAGGATTAACTGCCAAATAGGGGTTGTAGGATCCTGTGAACCAAAGACAAACTATACTTTTAAAAATGCCAATTAATTCCATATAGAATTATTTTCCAAACGGGAGCTCTCCCTTTCCAGCTTTTTACCTAGGACTTAGTTCTAGCTTTCCATAGGGAACACAGAGAACTTGTGGTGGGTGGCATGGAAACCCTTATCTTCTGATAGGATGGAAAATGGAAAGGCCCAGTGCCAGGCACTGCTTTGTGAACAGACGGCATGAGTCAACAGCAAGCAAACGGAAAAGCCTGGCGAGAAGAGTACTGAGAGACCGAATGCAAATACTGGAAGAATTACTCTGTCTGAGTTTACTCTTATGGGAAAAGAGTGGGACGTACAGGAGTTTTAAGGTGGTATATTATATATGCTGCACATGCAAATCTATATTTTCCCAGAGTACATCCACATTGCATATGGTATCGCACTTGGATGTTAGTCCTCTGCCATTGCACTGTTCAGCTTCCCCTTCCATTTGCTTCCTTAGAATCATAGAATTATAGAATCAAAGAGTTGGAAGAGACCTCATGGGCCATCCAGTCCAACCCCCTGCCAAGAAGCAGGAATATTGCATTCAAATCACCCCTGACAGATGGCCATCCAGCCTCTGTTTAAAAGCTTCCAAAGAAGGAGCTCCACCACACTTCCGGGGCAGAGAGTTCCACTGCTGAATGGCTCTCACAGTCAGGAAGTTCTTCCTCATGTTCAGATGGAATCTCCTTTCTTGTAGTTTGAAGCCATTGTTCTGTGTCCTAGTCTCCAGGGAAGCAGAAAACAAACATGCTCCCTCCTCCCTGTGGCTTCCTCTCACATATTTATACATGGCTATCATATCTCCTTCTCTTCTTCAGGCTAAACATGCCCAGCTCCTTAAGCCGCTCCTCATAGGGCTTGTTCTCCAGACCCTTGATCATTTTAGTCGCCCTCCTCTGGACACATTCCAGCTTGTCAATATCTCTCTTGAATTGTGGTGCCCAGAATTGGACACAATATTCCAGATGTGGTCTAACCAAAACAGAAGAGAGGGGTAGCATTACTTCCCTAGATCTAGACACTATGCTCCTATTGATGCAGGCCAAAATCCCATTGGCTTTTTTTGCCGCCACATCACATTGGTGGCTCATGCTTAACTTGTTGTCCACGAGGACTCCAAGATCTTTGTACTCAGCTTGCATCCATTGCTGCAAAAAAGTGCAAAAGTAGTTTGCATCCAGTAGTTGCTTTGAGTCTCCTTTGAGGAGAGAAAAAGTGGGGTATAAATAAACACAACAACAACAAGGATGATAATTGTTTGAAGAGAGGAATTGAGAACAGATTTATTTATTTATTTGCTCCATTTATATACCGCTCTTCTCACCCCTGAGGGGACTCAAAGCGGTTTCCAACATAATAGTGGCAAAATTCAATGCCGTATATACATACATATGGAAACTAAAACATACTGTATATACTCGAGTATAAGCCTAGTTTTTCAGTCCTTTTTTTAGGCTGAAACAGTCTCCCCCGGCTTATACTCGAGTAAGTGTTATTTATTATTTTACTTTGTTGTTGTTGTTACATTTATTGTTTTATTGTTGTTGTTATTATTACATTTATTATTTTACTCTAGTTATTATTGTTATTGTTATATTTATTATTTTACTCTATTATTATTATTTTACTTTTTTATTATTATTGGAGGACATGTAAACATAATCACATTGAAGAAAGTTAGAATAATGGTTTAATCAGAGTTGGACAGTCTTATCTTGAATTACAGTTTTATGTAACTGTTCAAAAACATATAACCTATTAATGCCTAAATTAATATAATTTTATTGGTATCTGTTTTTATTTTGAAATTTACTAGTAGCTGCTGCATTTCCCACCCTCGGCTTATACTCGAGTCAATAC